CAATTTATAATTTACAAAAAGCAATTAATTCACAACTTTTTATACTATTTTTACCAAGTTAAAGGAAGTTTCCTACAATGTTCCAGGACTCGAAACACGCCTTACCATCTGTCAGGCATTTTTACTGTAACAAATCAGACTATGAGAGCCATCTCAAGAGAAAAAAGAAATGATGATTACCTTGGATACTAATATTTTTCTGGCCAGCAATATTTTTCTTAACTTGATATTTGTAGAAAACTAAGATAATTTTTTTTGACGTGTAATCCGTGGGGAAAATACCAAAAGAGACGTGGAACAAAATCTTTTATATTTCATAACGTGTAGAATCAGTGATATTTATTCTGCCTAAATGCAAACTCCCCCTTACACAACATAATATAATTACCTCCTACTCAACTATTAAAAGAGTAAATGATCACTGAGTGACCGGAGCATAAACTCACAGATTATACTCTAAATAAAGGAAACCCTCTATTTGTGATTGAATCAACGACGACAACCTTCGATCCTTCTGTTGCCAGTGAGGGGGAAAAAAGGACAATTATAATGAGGTCCTAGGAAAGAAAAATAATTACTAAAAAGTTCTAATAACAACTTAAACAGTCTGTAATGACAAGTTCTAGGATAGAAAATGACAACTTCTGGGACTTTTTTTGTAATTTTTTTTTTAAAGAATCTCACTATAATTGTCCCAAGAGAAAAAAAGCCCAAGGATATCCCCCCAGGCAATTCGTCTTAAATGATTTTGGTCCAATTTCTGCAGATAAGAGTTTGAAATACATCCTCTCGTAACCTTTTGTTTGGTTGGGGTTTTTCAGAGGGGAGGGAACGGTGCAAGACGGCGTAGGGCTGTGGAGAAATTCTTGTACAAACTGTACTAATCTTATAGATATATTAAGCCATAATGAGAAGCTTATATATGTACCAATTTTGTTGTTTTTTCCCCCCCGTTTTGGATGCATGAGGAAAACAAAACAGCATAAAAAGAACATAACAAAAGTGAAAAGCCTAAACTAATGAAGTGTAAGTAGAAATATGCAAGACTTCCACATGCCTATTTGCTATATCTGTATGGGCCTCATTGATTTTACATCCGTCCTTCAGCAAGGAGATGGTTTTTGAAGAATTGCTCCTTGTATCTAGCTCTTGCTTCTTGAATGCCTCTAAGATGAGATTTCGCCAACTTGTATACACAAAACCTATAAATGAACTCAAGGGAAGATCGATTTTTCAGCCAAGTAAGAATCATGAAGCATACACATTGTCTATCCCAAGTTATTTTATATTTCAATAAGCCTAATAGTAACAAATTTAATCGAAACTGGAGAGATTTTGGAAGAGTTTTGGAAATCTACTTGCTTTAATTTTGTAAAATGATTCGAAAATATGTACCTAGAGCTGATGATACTGATGCAAAAACAAACTTTTTACAATGACCAAAAAAGGGCTTTCTATGACAATTTTATAACTAGTATCGATGGATACATGCACCTTGATGTAAAAAAAAATCTAAAACATACCTTAGCACCAATTCTGAAATAGACGCTCAGGGGAATGCCAAAAGTTACATCCACTCCCAATGGCTACAGCCTTCTAAATCAATATAGATTTATCTTTTGATTTTTGCCATCTTTTAACTTTTGATCTGCAGAAAACGTGCCACTCATAATTGCTTAATTTAAACAGTACTGAATTATAATATATATATATTGTAAAATGATATTTCAAGTTGGTTCAGTTACATCAAAACAAGAACATTGAACATGCCTAATATATAGTTGACCTATGGCTATTGGGTCGTACATCTATTATTAATATTTCCTCCTAAACCCTTTTCCGTGGTCCTTACCACATACAAATGACTACGTAAAGTCTTCTTCAACTTATGAAATGAGAATGAAAAATTAAGGGAATGCATAAGATCTAGTTTGACCTTTGGTAGACCCTTGAAACTATATACGTGTCGTACAATTAAAATACAAAAAATAAGAACAATTTTTCAAAAGATGAAAAGAAGCCCAGCCAATAATATAAAACGAACAGCCCCTATGAAAAGGAAGTAATTAAGTGGATATAATATTTATGAGAATGTATCAACCAAAAATTTAGATATCCATCAATCATGCATTAATATAAAATATAAATTTTAATCTAAAACCAGAAGGGCTGATCTACGTACCCTGGAAGTATAGACTTATCTTCTTCAGCAATGAACTGATCATGATGTCTGGAGCATTGAGTATAACATCCATGTTTCTCAACTTCAGTTCGTGTAACATCAGTGGCCTGCAATATTTTCATCATTGTCTCAGGGCCCAGTATTTGCAGACCCATTGCTCCATTAAGTGCTCTCTTGGCAAGTAAATCAGCGATGCCATTGCCGTCTCCGTGAAAGACCCGGATATCCACAAACCATTTCCGCTCTACATCCCTTTGATTTCCATGATCAGACCAATATCCTTGTGCGTTAGGGACTTCAAATTTGATCAATCGAACAGCTTCAGCGGAGTCGCTTCTCAAGACAACAACTCTAATACCAGTGTCCCAAGCTCTTTTGAGACCCATCAAGCAACCCCATAGTTTTGCTGTGAGGATGTCTCCGCCACTTAATTTCAGAAGAAAAGCCTCCCTCATACAATTGTTGACATCTTTTAGAACGCCTCCACAAGCTGCTTTGTCATCTAAATGAGAATAGGTGCCATCCACTTCTACAATAATATGATAACGTCTCCGCCAGGGCCTATAACCTCTATTGTTGATGTCTGGATTAAACTTCACGTAGTTATTGATGATACTACAACCTTCATCCCTTGTTCTTCGCCATGCTTCAACATCTTCTTTACACACCGCTCGCCACCCACACTTGCTTATTTTCATCCTTGGTGACTTATTTTCCATTGCATTGTTAGAGAAAAATACCATTTGAAGTCCATTGACAACCAAAGAGGAATAAGGAATATATTTTATATAAAGCAGAGGACTCTTAGCCGGATGTACATAAAGATGATACCCCCAACACCAGTTTGGAAATTCATCATTAGGAAATCTGCAACTCCAAACAATTCCATCCCACCCCTCTCCAAATGTGAGATCGTATTCTATGACTAAGCATATGGCTATGCCCCACCATTCACGTGAACCACAATAATCAGGGGATATATTTATTATGAACGACACATTAGGACAGCACCAGAATTCTTTCTCGCAAAAGTAGTTTTGATTATAAAACCATGATGGTACTCTGCTGCCTGGAATTTTTAATGAGCGACAACGTAGACGGAGGGAAAGAAACTGGGACAAAAAAAAAACAGATTGTTTGTATCAGAAGTATGTTGATTAACACGTAAGAAATGGCAATATATACGTACAAGTAAAATAAACTATATATTTATTGTCAAAGAAATTAAGAAAAAAACAGGTGATTCTAAAAACTCACAATTTCTGAATCCCCTCTTATAATTGCTGACTTCATATTTAAATGGTTGTGAACCTATAAGAAACAATTTTGCGTGTTAAAGAAGTAAAACGATAGAGGTGAAAGAACAATTAAAGACAAATAAAATAAACCTGAGGTTGAAATGATTCAATGAAATCCCATAATTGATCTGCACATCCGTAATGTTCCATTGATGAACAATCGTCAGCCATATAGCAAATAGATTTGACGGAAGTTGCGGCAAAGACCGAAGCCTTGGGCACCTCCAGAGACCAATACCTTTAAGCTTCGAAGATTGGAAATGAGGCCAGATGGTAAGTCAATGAAATTGTTTCCACTTAGATTTAAAATTTCCAATGATGATAACATGCTGACATCATCAGGAAGTGATGCATCATGGAGATTGCAATTTTTTAAACGTAAATGTTCAATGATGACAAAGACGGCAACAGCATAAAATTTTTGAGCTTGAAGGCCTTTGAAGAAGGGATAAGCAACTCCATGATGATGAAGATTGTGCTTCACCATTGTAGTCATTAAATGATAACCCTTGTATAGCAATCCCACTCAAATCCAGCTCTTCCAAAGCTTCATTTTCATTCAAATTCTCTGGCAGCCTTGAAAACTTTGAGCATTGAGAAATTTTGATAACTTTCAGAGCTTTCAACTTACTAACACTACATGGAAGACAGACCAGCTTTTTGCAGTTGTCAAATTTAATTCAACGAGACCAATCAAATTGCCCAGTGATTGAGGTAGTTTGGCTATAGCAGTCTTCTCTAAATCAAGCTTAGATAGACATGTCATATCTTTTCCAAACTCAGGAAGTTTTCTAACTTTTGAACAACCCGATAGAATAAAAGTCTCCAAGCTATTCATCTCAAATTTTTCTGGAAGCTTTTTAACTTCTTTGCAATCTTTCAAGTCAACAGTGACAAGTTTCTTGTGTTGCCCAAGAGACTGGTGGATTTCAACCAAGTTAGAACACCCTTGAAGAATCAACTTTTCAAGATGAGGAATTCCATCAAAATTTGGGGTTTTGATGAGGTATTCTGAATGAGATAGATCAATGGACTTCAATCTTCGAAGAGACTAACAACAGGGGAAAAAAGAAAAAGACAACAGATCAAAAACCAAATACTGATTATAATTATAATTATAATTTACTAAATTGTGGATAAACAATTTAAATAAAAGGACTTTAGTTACCTGTTTTCCTCTCCATAGTTCTTTTAACTTGCTATGTCGCATTTTTAGCACCACAAGTTGATTGAGTTGAGGTTGACTTGGCAAATAAAATAATGGATACCCCTCCCATTCTATGATTTTCAACTCTTTGGAAAGAGACTTGAGTCCAAGCGGAAGATTCAGTTGGCAATGTGAAACACATGAGGGACTTGAAATGATAAGTAACTTGAGATTAATCAGTTTTGAGAAGGCTTCAGGATCCCAAAATGCATCACATGACTTTTCTAATGTTAGCATTATTCCCCGGGTTGCTTCTGTTCCCTATAAAACAACAAGTCAAGGTAAAAATGTATAAAAGCCATGCAATAAATTATTATAAGAGTGCACAAACACAAGAACTTTGGAACGTCACCTTAGTTCCTCCTAATACATGATTGGCATCATCCAAGGACAATATCCTAGAAAGCTTGCAGGCATCACCAAATGATTCTTGATAGACAACATGTTTAGCCATATTTTGCAGAATTTCATGCACCTGCAAATGCCCTTCATAATTAATTACTAGTGATTTGTCAATAAGAACCCTTATTCCAATTTTTGGGTGAAGATCCTTATCCAATGTTTCTAAAATTTGTATGATATGATCTTCGTCCATCCCATTGAAAAAACAAGCAATATCTAAGAATATAGTCTTCTCATTAAGCTCTAATCCGTGAAGACTCACTTCAAGTATCTTGCAAATGTCCTCTGGAAGACATTTCTCGAACTTAGCTAGTGCATCTTCCCATTCCTCTATCGTTCTTTTGCAAAGAAATGAACCTAACACTTCGAGTGCTAAAGGAAGGCCTCCAGTATATTCAATGACGGTTCTAGCAAGGTTCAAATAATCTTCATTAGGTTGCCCTTCTTTAAAAGCATTTTGAATGAAAAGTTTAAGGGACTTGCTATCACTCAAGAATTCAATGTGATATATGGCACTATCAGATACACCATATGATGATAGCAAATGCTTATCCCTTGTTGTTATCACTATTATGCTCCCTTTGCTGAACCATCCTTGCCTTGGAGCCAACTTCTCAAGTTGGCTAACATGACTCACATCATCAAGGACAAGTAGAATTTCTCTGTCGGTTAACTTCCTTTTTATTAACTCCATTGCTTCATAAAAATCAGCCACTTCTATACTCCTTTTGTACAAAGATAAAAGAAGTTTTCTTTGCAACGAAATCAAACCATCTTTTTCACATGCCTCTCTAATATTATCAAGGAAGCAGTGAAAGTTTTTGCTCTTTCGCTTTCGCTCTCGCTCATAAAAGGCTCTAGCAAGAGTTGTTTTGCCTACGCCTCCTGCACCCCATATTCCTATAAATCCAACTTCTTCTGATTCCCTTGCTATGATTGAATTCAGTTCATCTAATTTTGGTTCAATTCCAATTAACTTGCCAAGATCAGATGCTGATTTATCAAGTAACTTTGACCCGATTTCATCAGCAATGCTTTCAATGAATTCTGTTTCATACCTGCATATGAAAATAAAATTATAAAGTGTAAATTTTTTTGCACAAACAATCCCAAAAAAAAACTAGGTAATGTAAGATGTGAAGAAAACATGACCACAAATTTAGCAGTTTTAAGTTTACCATGAAACTTAGTTTAAATTAGTTAGGAACAGGCGATAATTTCATTTATAGAAGAGTTGTACATTGCCTCTAGTATTTACAGACACAGACGATTATGTTTATTTGTCCACACATTAATAACTCCTAGGTATTCAAATCATTTAATTAACACATCATAGTTTGAGTTCCTCTTTTCTGGTAACCCGTTTTATTTATATTTGAGTATTTTTTTCCTTAATTTTATTAAGCAACTTTTCACAGAACAATTGTCAGATTAAAAGTTCAAATTTAACGCCAATAACGTTTTCGACAGTCAAAAACATAATAATTATTGTGTTGTAATTTTACTATATATTGTATGTATGTGTTTATATATATATATATATATTCAAGAAAATGACCATTTCAGAATTCCATCATTAATTGAGTTTAATTGCAAAACCTAAATCATTTACAACCAATAAAGTACTACAGTTGTACTAGAAATCTATTTCACCAAGAAGTATAAACACAGGTCTACAATTAAATAAAGGCCGAAATATAAATAACTCCTCCTAATTTTAATTCTCTTACATACAACATGTCTTACCTTTGCAAGTTTAAAAATCACGCCCTCAACTTTCATTGTCTGACATTTAACCCTTTACCATTAAAAAGACGGTTAAATCTCATAGAATAGATGTGCATATAATTTTATTATTTTACTAATTTGTCCTAATTTTAAACTCATAATTACACTAAAGAGCATTTTTGTAGTTCTACTAATAATTATTCCTAATTCTACTCTTGCCTAATCATTTTGCTCTTTCGGGCATTCCCACCTTGTCTTGGTTTAGCTGGCTAACAAGGTTCTGAAATTCTAGGACATGAAAGAAAACTCAATTGAGAATTGATTAATCCTACACATTGCCTTATTCGCTCTCCTTCGCGGGTTTGTTTGGTTGGAAGGGAGGGGAGGGAAGCCAAAATGTCCCGTCCCCCTCCTCTCCCCTTCCATTTTAGCTCCCTTTCAAATTGGGGGTTTTTAGAGGAGTTAAATTTTTGGATTATTATATCGTTATAGTTTTTTTAATATTCTACTACTACTCATAAAATATATTTGTATAATATTTATTTCAAATAAAAAATATATTATCCTAAGTAAAAAATAAAAAATATAAATTATTATAAATAAAAATATATTATTACAAAAATTAATTAAAAATAAAAAATTATTTAAATAAGAAATTATAAAATTATAAAATTAATTTTTTTATAAATATATTATTTATTAAATATATTTTAAAACTGAAAAAAGGATAGCCTAAAGAGAATAAAATTTCATTTTTCTTAGAGCATATAAAATTTGTTAATTTGATTATTTCAAATATATTATTATATTAATTAGAATAAAAAATTACTGTACCAATTTTTAATGCATATATTAACATGATAAGACTGAGTTTTCATTAAATTATATAATTTAAAGTAAAATGTAAATTAATTTGTATAATATTAATATATCAATAAAAAATATAAACTAATATGTAAGGGTAAAATGGTAAATTGATTATTACTATCCCTCCTATCTCCTCTCCTCTTTGAACCAAACAAGGGATTAATTAAATATCCTTTCCTCTCTTCTTTTTTAATCAAATCAAACAAGGTGAGGATAAAACCTCCCCTCTCTTTCCCTATCCCACCATCCCCTCAAACCAAATAGGCCTTAAGCGAGCAAACTGATTTTGAAGACTCTAAAGGTCTGTTTGGCTCAATAAAAAGAAGATAAGGGAGGGATTTTAATGGAATGAAGAGGAGGGAAGGAAAGTGGAAGGATTTTAATATGAGCTTGTTTGGATTTATAAAAAAAAGAGGGGAGGGGAAGAGTTTTAATATCACCTTGTTTGGTTTATGATGGGAGGGGAGGGAAAAATATTTTAACATGGACAATTTTGACCTTATTTCATTTAAGATATGGGCATAATAGTTACAACATGACAAAATATGGATATAATAGTCACAACATGATAAAATATTACCTTTTTCCTCCAAATCCTCCCAATTTTGGAGGAGAGGTTGAAAAGGGGAGAGGAGAAAATTTTTTTAAAAATTTTGCCTCCCCTCCTAAAATTTGTGTATTGATGAATAAAGAAAAATGATTAAAATCCTTCTCCTTCCCTTCCTTTTCTCCCAAATCCCTCGTATCAAACACACACTAATTAAAAATTAATCTCAAGTGCCAAAATGCAGCTTCTGGGATATGGAGTATTTGCATTCTGGGAAGCCAATGACACTAGGTGATGCATTTCTCATGTAAAATTAAAGAATCTAGATTGATATTAACAGACTCTAAACAAGCAAGCTTGAATGATGGATTTTTTTATATATATACAAAATGACAAAAAGATGAATAAAGACGTTGCAAAATGAGAGGACTTGCTAGCTAGGGTAGGCTAAAAGAACCACACGATTGGGTGAGATTGGGACTAGAGTTATTTTTGGCAGAATTCCATAATATTTCTTGATGTAATTATGAGTTTTAAATTTAAATAAATTAGTAAAAATTGCATGTCATCTACTAAATATTTTTAGGGGTTAAATATCAAACAATAAAAATTAAGGATACTTATTTATATTTTGGATTTAAATAAAAAGATAAAAACGTTAATCACCCTTCTGTTTTAGTCCCAAATGTCGACGGAAAAAAGAACACAACCGGAGAAATGAAAGAAAGATGAAGATAAAAAAGATGAAGAATTGAGAAGAAAAAAAAAACAAAGAGAAAAAACCATTCAGACCCTTGGCCTCGTCATCTTATTGAGCCGTTCTTCTTTCTGGGTAAACGCCGAGTCCCTCGCACATTTCTTCGACTTTCTAAAACGTAAAGCCAGGTTGCAAGAGCACGAGGTTTTCGATTTAGGGGTAAAAATATTTTTATAATGTATAAAATAAAAATATATAAAAAAAATTTATTTCGTTTTACTTAAAAAATAGTAGTTTTTTCAAAAACACCTTTTCGCTGGAACTTGGAATTTGGAACTGAAAGGGCTGTGCTAAGGAAGAGGAGTGTTTGTATCGCCGCCCTTCATTTCAAACGGATGGTCACAATTTATTGCCTTTTTATTGAAAGAAGTCGATTCAACAGTGATATGTCACATCCTTCTCTCACGCTTTTCTATATAAACTCATTTTTGCTTTCAAGGTCCCAAGTCATTTGGAAATTAAAAACTCATATTATTATTATGTAATATACTCTGTTGGCGCCCAGTGGAGAAGCAGGGGAAAGGTTTTTTTTTTGAGAGAAAAAGACAACAAAAAAAGAAGTAAAAAATTATTACATTTCGATTCAAGTACTTAGGAGATTAAAATTTCAAAAACAAAAAAGTGATACTTGATTTGATAGCATAGATATAGTTAAATGACAAAATGTCCTTATATCGAAACGTTATTAACAAATTATGAATTAGTAATAACAAGTATTAGATAACAAATAAGAAAAGATATACTGATAATAACAAGTTATTTATTAATAAGTTGTAAATTAATAATAATAAATATTGAATAACCAATAACAAAAAATATACTGATAATGACAAATTTAATTTTTTTTGTAAAAAATCTGATATAACAACATTTTAATCAGTTACTATATTTATAAAATATCAGATCATGCATCATTTTTTTTCCCTTGAGATTTTAAACTTTTAGATGCCTAAATTGAAATACTACAATTTCTAATTTCTGTTTTTGTTATTTTCCCAACTATATAATTGTTTATTTATTCTTTTAATTGTTAATGTATATTTTACTGCTAATATTAATTGTTTTTTATTTTTTAGATAGAGTTCAATTGGAAACACATTACATCTTTTATTTAAATATTATTTTTATCACTAAATCTTGGTATTTATGTAGATTTTAATCCAATTACGGAAGTTTCATGGGAAGCGTTTAAGTTTCAGGTTTGATTCGTTTCTTGTGAGCGTTAGGTTAGTGAGTGGAGAATTGTCTGAGCTTCAACAGGTTATATTTTAACATTAGTTTAGCAAAAGGTGACCAGAAAAAATGGTTTTCCCTACCACTTATATTTTCAAACTTTCTAAATTGTTATAAAATTTATTAATTATTAATTTTGATTATTTAACGAAATTGTATAATTTTATCTTTTTCATTACATGTATTGAAATATACTTATTTACGTTTTAAGAGATTATATAAATAAAATAAATTTGTAATTTAAAATTTTTAAACATATTTTTGTAATAAACATTTATAAATTTAAAAATATATTTGTTGGGCTGAATTTATAAACGCATTTAGTCAAATATATATTTATTAAAAAAATTACTCTAATTCATAATTTTTGTATATATATGTTAATTAAATTACTTCAGCTTTTATCCCATTATGATAAAAACATTAAAAAAATAATTATTTGTAAGAAAAAATTAATGGGAAAAAAAGAAAACACTTAAATTTTTCAAAATAATTTTAATCAAAACTAGAAATTCATTATAAAAGTTAAATTGGAAAATAAATATTATCTAAGTACAAATTTTAATTAAAAATATCTTTTAAAAATATTTTTAATAAAATTAAGAATTTAAACTTAAATATATGTTTTCAAAATAGATAAACTGATAAAAAGTCCATATAATTAAGATAAAATAAATTAAAATATTTTATTTTTAAGCAAATGATATTTATAATATTTTGGGGAAACCATATTGGAGGTACCTATACTTTTTTCAATTTTCAATTTGGTACCTATGTGTTTTTTGTTTTTAACTAAATCTTTATTTTTCTTCTATTAACATCATTAATCCTTATGTAGAGACTAAAAATATTAATAGAACAAAGTTATAAGAGCTAATGTTGCTAAAAAGATAAAATTAAATATTTAATTAAAGAGAAAAAACATATAGGTACCAAATTAAAAATTAAGAGAAAGTATAGGTACCTTCAATATGGTTTTCCCTAATATTTTTCAGTCAAATCTTCATGCAGGCACCCCTACCTATTTTAGGGACTCAGGCGCCCCACATAAGACAGACCTTATCTTCTTTAGCGGAATAGATCCCACAATCCCCTCAATAAGAGGGGATGTGCGTTGCCATGGAAAAAAAAAGAAAAAAAAAAGATAATTAATGAGAGAAATGGAAGTTACCGGTTTTTTGAGTCCCAACCAGATAAAGTAGCAACTTCTTGTAAAGCATCCCTCCATTCCTGCGTTTTGTCTTTGACAAATCTTTCTTCATGCCTTATGAAGGCTTCTGCAAAACTTCCGTTTTGTTTCCTAACATCAGAAGGATCTACACCGTAAAATATCGGAAATACTTGAAGACTTGTCTCTTCCTTTAACTGTAGGATCTTTTGAAGCTCATCCAAACACCAAGTTGAAGAAGCATAATTTGGAGAGAGCACAATAATTGCAGAACGAGATTCTTCAATTGCTTCTACTAAACTTGGATTAATAGATTCTCCCCTTTCAAGTCCTTCCTCATCTCGAAAAGTTCTTAATCCTTCGTTTTTTAAAGCAGCATACAAATGATCAGTAAAATTTTTCCGGGTATCTTCCCCTCGAAAGCTCAAAAACACATCATACTTCCATCTCTTAGTTGAACCAGAAGATCTTGAAGAACAGCCAACTCCATCAGCATCAGGCGCCATCACAAGGATTTGGAATCTGAACCCAAGTATAAAAGTAAAAACACAAGAAACTGAAAGAATAATACATATATAAAGGCAAAAAGAAAGAAAGAAAGAAAGAAAGAAAGAAAGAAAGAAAGAATAATACATATATAATAGGAGCTTCAACAAAGAGTGCAGCAATCAGTCCAATGCGAAGCCTTGGGATAGGCATTGGGCATATTAAAACAAGATATAATAGAAACATCAACAGACAAGGTTCTTCTCACCGCAAGAGTCATCTACTCTTCACGAATAATTTGAAAGCAACATTTCACAGATCTAAACAAATCATTTCGGTGATCATAATTGAAGAAAGGAGAAGGGGAGAAAGTAGAAACCTGAAAGAGGAAATAATATCAAAAGATTTGTTCGACTCCCACCGGCCTGATATAAGATGAGGCCCAGCAGCCTGGTATAATTTTATAGAATGAAAAATGGAGAAACAGTGAGAAGGAAAGTGATGGTAATGAGCTCATATCTTTGTCCTCTCTTCAGTCTTTGGGAGCTCAAATTTGAAAGCGTGTTACGTACGAAAATACAGTGTTCCATTTTGCTGAAGGACAGAACCATGGGTCCCTATGTCAGTGCTTTATTAGGTTTTCCTTTTTACTTTTTTGTCACAAGACTTAATAGGAGCAAGAGAAAACCAGAGCATTCCTCTTTTAATTTTCAACACAAACATGATTATTGTAAAAAGACTAGTATAATTTTCAACACAAACATGATTATTGTAAAAAATCATCATTTATGATTAATGATTATATGATTATAGAAATAAAAATATACCTTTTAAAATTAAAAGACCAAACTAAAACTTTATATAAAGTTAAAGAATCAAATGTATATTTTATCACTAATTAATTAATGTCTTTATTTATTTGTTTACTTATTTATATTGGTAAATCATATATATCTCTAGCTTGCCGCTCATGCCACTTAATATTATCAAACATATGCAAAATAATGGCGAGGAATGTCAAGCATAAAAATGTTTACAAATGAGGGAGGATAACTGTTTATATGAATATGAAGACTAATTCGTGATACTTTGCCCATTTAAATCAGATTTATTTGTTCAGCTAGTTCTCTGAAGTATGAGAAGATCAATGCCTAATTTGGGCAAAGTATTAAAGGGTACTTTCACTAATCCTATACAAGAGAATTTTCATTATGAAATCCATCAAATTGCGTCCTAACATGCGAAATCATTTTCTCTGATTAAGCGCGTGGCTATACCCGGCATCCGGAATATTGTAGAAGCACTTTAAAAAAGTGCTTTTACATAAGTCAAAATTTTTCTCACATATTTATCTTAAATATTATAAAATTATTTTTGAAAAGCTAAACCAAACACCTCTGATCTTCAGCCTGTTACAAATTTTATAGAAAGAAAAATGGAGAAACAATGAGAAGTAAAAATGGTGGGTGTGAGCTCAAGTCTTCTCTTTTCTTCAGTCTTTGCGCGTTCAAATTTCAAACCGTGTGACGGACGGAACTACTGTTTTCCATTTTAATTTGCTGAAGGACAGAACCATGTGACCCTACCTCAGTGCTTTGTTAGATTCGATTTTACCTTTTGTAGGTACGTATATGTGAGAAAACGACCAAAAAGACTTTGCAAAGACTTGCTTTTATTTTATTATCGTGTTCTAGGCTGCACGACTGACGAGCCCCCTACTATATGTTGCTTCGTTTTGGAATCCAAGGGAAGAAGGCGAAGACCAGAGCATTCCTCTCTTAATTTCCAATTTATTCCTCGGATTCACATTTAAAGAAAGAGCAACAAAGTGCAAGCTTAAAAAAAAAAAAAAAATTCAATCCCAGCAAATTAGCTAGTGAGGCGGGAGAACTAACCTATACCAGACTCGTAACAATGCACCCTCTTCAAGCGTCTAATTTCTAATTACTAGTTTTACTAGATAGGAAAACCTATTAAACTTATAAACTGTTTTTAATATAAAAGTTAGTTGGGGATTCAATTTGATTCTAAATATAAGATTTTAATATACTTTTTCTCCTATATTTATCTATTTTGCCCCTATTAAAGATATTTAAAAAAAACACCTATTTACCACAAATAATTAACTAAACTCATTTTCTTGATATTTGTAAATTAGTTTTCAGCATTTAAGTGATGCATTCTCTAAGTGTTAATATTGTCAACAAATTGTTAATAAACTGAAAGCCTAAGCAGAAAGAAAGAATGATATATGAGGATATAATGGTCCCCAAGGACATATTAATTGAGCTTAGAAACTCCATTGTAGATTTTGCATTTCTTAAATATGAGTTTAGACTGATAATTTTCCCAACTGTGTTGGTCCTGCTACGAATTTCGTGTTCTCATCAAAGCTTTAGAAGAATTGGATAAGTCATACTGGAGCTCATAAAAGCTATTTTCCAGAATTTAAAACAGGATTTTATTGATACTAAACCCTAGGAGGTGAATTTTATTTTTATGTTTACTATGTTATCCTGCACACTAACAATGACTTAGACTGAGAGTTCACATTACATTTGAGACATGTCCTTTTATGGGCTTGGTTCATGGAGACTTGTGAAAAGTAGGATCCAAGTCAGGGACTTTTGAAGGAGCTTACTGGGGACACACGTACGCAGGTATTCCTAACTTGACCTCAGTACTTTTCCTCAAAAAAGTTGAAGGGCAGTTCCAAACTTTTGTTCTGTTTTTTCTGTTGTTTTGTTTTGCTCGTGTACGCAAAAATGATTTCGGCCCAATTTCTACAGAAAAGAGATTGAAATACATCCTCTCGTAACCCTTTGTTTGGTTGGGGTTTTTTAGAGTAAAGAATTCTTTTCACAATGATTTTAGATATATTAAGCCATAATGAGAAGCTTTTAAGCACCACTTTTGTTTTGTTCTCCCCCCCCCCCCCATTTTTGGATACACGAGGAAAACAAAACAACATTAAAAACAGAACAAAAGTGAAAAGCCTAAACTATGATTTCATAGAAATACGCAAGATTTTTACATACTAATTGGCTATATCTCCCTCGTTCTCATTGATACTACTTCCATCCTGCAAGGAGATGTTTTTTGAAGATTGCTCTTGTATCTAACTCTTGCTTCTTGAATGCTTCTAAGACGAGATTTCACCTAACTTGTGTACACAACCTATAAATGAAGTCAAAGAAAGATCAACCTTTTAGCCGGGTAAATATTATGCAGAAATTAGTCATCTATATAGTATCAACTTGTCTATAGAGTTATGTATAGCAGTTATGCATACATATTTTGTATCCTAAATTATTTTACACTTAAATAAGCTTAATAATTAGAAATTTATTATAAACATGTGCAAAATAATAAGAGTTTTGGAAGTCTGCTTCTTGATTTGATTTTGTAAAATGATTTCGCGTACACTTGAGAGATTTAAGCATTGAAGGAACATAAAATGACTGACCAAGGCAAAAAATAGTATCAAGGAGCAGCAGTATCATCTAGATTATCTTCATCATATAGCACAATGTAAACAATCAGAAATACGCCTTAGCATCAAGTTTGAAATAGATGCCTGAGGCAATGCCAAAAGTTTGACATAAATGAAATTCTCCCAAAAGCAAAAAGCCTAAACTAACTGAAGCGTTCATAGAGAAACATGCAAGACCTCCTTCTACTAATTAGCTATATCTGCATGGGCCTCATTGAAATTACATCCGTCCTTCAGTAAGGAGATGGTTTTTGAAGAATTGCTTTTGTATCTAGCTCTTTCTTCTTGAATTCCTCTAAGGTGAGATTTACCCAACTTGTATACACAAAACCTATAATGAAGTCAAAGAAAGATCAATTTTTCGGCCAGGTAAATATCATGCAGTTAAGCATGTATATATCGTCTATCCTAAGTTCCTTTATATTTCAATAAGTCTAGTAAGGACAAATCTAATCGAAACGGGAGAGATTTTGGAAGGGTTTTGGAAGTCTGCTTGCTTTGATTTTGTAAAATGATTTCGTTAAGGATCGAAAATTTTTACCTAGAGCTGACAGCAAAAACAAACTTTTTACAATGATGAAAAAAAAACGGCTTTCTATAACGATTTTATTGCTAGTATAGATACACCTCGATTTAAAAAATCTAAAACATACCTTGGCCCCAATTCTGAAATAGACGATCAAGGGGATGCCAGAAGTTACACCCACTACCAATAGCTACAGCCTCCTAAATCAATATTAGATTCATCTCTTGATTTTTGCCGTCTTTCAACTTTTCTGCACAAAACGTGCCACATACTTGCTTATTTTAAACAGTACTGAATTATAATATATAGTGTAAAATGATATTTCAAGTTGGTTCACTCACATCAAAACAAGAACATTGAATATGTATAATATATAGTTGGCCTATGGCAATTGGATCCTATATATATATATATTATTATTATTATTATTATTTCCTCCTAGACCCTTTCCTATGTATGGTCCTTAACACGTACAAATGACTAGGTAAAATTTTCTTCAGCTTATGACTTGTGCCACAAATCAAAGGGAATAAAAAATTAAGGGAATACATAAGATATGGTTTGACCTTTGATAGACTGTTGAAACTAAATTATGTCCTACAAGTAAAAGGCAACAAAATAAAAACAAATTTCCAAGATATGAAAACAAACCCAGCCAATACTCTGAATTGAGCAACTGCTATGGAAATGAAATAATTAACGAAATATAATATTTAGATGAATTGAAAGACTTCAGCTCAAAAAAAATAAAAAGATGAATTGAAAGACTATATTGAATTAACATATCAATGAAAAATTCAAATATCCATCAAGCATGCATTAATATAAAATATAAAGTTTAATCTAAAACCAGAAGGGTTGGTCCACGTACCTTGGAAGTATAGACTCATCTTCTTCAGCAACGAACTGGTCATGAGATCTCGAGCATTGAATATAACCTCCATCTTTCCCGTCTTCAGTGAGTGTAACATCAGTGGCCTGCAATATTTCCATCATTGTCTCAGGGCCCAGTATTTCCAGACCCATTGCTCCATTAAGTGCTCTTTTAGCTAGTAAATCAGCAATGCCATTGCCGTCTCTGTGAAAGACCTGCATATCCACTGACCAATCCCACTCTAACATCCCTTTGATTTCCATGATCACAGCAATATCCCTGTGCGTCTCAGGAAACAAAGGGAAGTTTTGCAGAAGCATTCATGAAGCATGAAGAAAGATTTGCAAAGATGGAGGGATGCTTTGGAAGATGTAGGTGGTTTTTGCCTTTGAGAATGCGAAGAAACTTTAAAGTATTACAAAACTCTCAAATATTTTACAAAAGACTGTTTGCCATCTCTAAAAAGTGAAAGCAAAGTAGTACTCTTTAACAGAGTTGTACTGGATCTTAAAGCTCATTGTGGTTTACTATCACGAAAAAGGCCCAATAACCATATGGATCAGAAAAGCCATTTGGAGACTAATACAAAGGATGAGAAAATGGCCAACAAACATCCTATTTGGGCTTTGGAGTAATTTGAAATATTTAGAACGTGCGAGTGGATTATACTACATCCACCTCTTATTATAAGATTCAAATTTTTGCATTAATTCATTTCTTGTTACAAAATAACCTTTTAAATATTAAATACATTTTTATCATTTTTCCCTTCATTAATATATTCTCTCATTATTTTTTCCCCAAAACATTCTCTCTCTCTCTAACTCTCACCTAGCCACTTTTACGCAAGGATATATTTGAAATAAAAATTATATTTCCTACTTTTGACTAATTTTAATAGTTTTATTAAGTCATGCAATTCGATTGCTTGAACCTTATAATAAATTATGGATAGAGTACTTTTTAGAAAAAAATTAATTTAAAAGTGCTTATAATTTATCTATTTTTTTAGTGCGGTCCTTACACTTTAAAGGCTTATATATCACCCTTTGCATCGTTAGTTCTTACAGTCAACCTCCCGCAGCTTACTGAAGAGTTAATAATCAACTCGATAAAGAATATGCCAAATAAGAAATTATTTGCTGCTGCCATATTATTCTTCACCTCTTTTTTTTGTTTTTTTTTGGCCCCCCAGGGGGGGGGGGAGAACAGAGGCAATGAAAGTAACCATCTACGTACGTTTGCTTGTTTCCATTATACAAAGCCATTATTCAGCCCAAAAATCTCCTCCAACATGGTGTCGCCCAACTCTGCTGAATTCTAAAGGACTGGTGGAGGGAGAGAGGTTGGGGAATTGAAGAGTGTGTTGCTAAACTGCTCACTGAAGGAATTCAAAATCATATTAAAACTACAAGTATTGTTGGATTAGTTTTCCCAATGAAACTTATTGATGCTTCATATTAAAGTACAAAATAAGTCTAATATATTTTCTACCGTAAGTTGTTTTATACTTAAAAATAAGCCTAATAATAATCACAAACCTAATAGAAACGTGCAAAATAATGAGTTTTGGATGCCTGCTTTTGCTTTGGTTTTGTAAAATAATTAGTAAACTTGAGAGATTTAAGCACCCATATTGAAGGAACATAAGATTTGTTGATGGATTATTTCCTTTGATGCACGATACTGCCTTGCAATCATATCATGGATTCATGATTGGGCCAGGGCAAAATATAGTAACAAGAAGCAGGAAGTATCATTAAGATAAGGGAAAATTACGTACAGGTCCCATATAAGGCAATTTATTACTCTGAGATCCCACGAAATGTCAAAATCACTGACAGGTCCTACGGGACCTCAGAGTAATATTTTCGATTTGTAAAATGACATTACTGCCCCTCATATTCCAGATTCACATTTGCTCTGTTATTGCGATTTACAACCTTAGCAGCGACTATTAACAACCCAATGAGAGGGCGCTAACAACCCTAGCAGTATTCGTTAACAACTTACTTTATAGAATCATATAACCTCCACATAAGAGTAAATTATAACCAAATAGTATAATACAACAACTTTAACACTAAAATGGGAAGCTTTTTGATATCATTAAGAATTTTAACTAAATCCAATAGGATTATAGTAATATTTTAATGTGAAGATTCATTTACAACCTCAACAGTGACTATTAACAACCAAATTAGAGGGCATTAACAACCTAAGCAGTATCCGTTAACAACTTACTTTATAAAATTATATAACCTCCACATAAGAGTAAATTATAACCAAATAGTATAATACAATAACTTTAACACTAAAATGGGAAGCTTTTTGATATCATTAAGAATTTTAACTAAATCCAATAGGATTATAGTAATATTTTAATGTGAAGATCCATTTACAACCTCAACAGCGACTATTAACAACCAAATTAGAGGGCATTAACAACCTAAGCAGTATCTGTTAACAACTTACTTTATAGAATCATATAACCTCCATATAAGCGTAAATTATAACCAAATAGTATAATACAACAACTTTAACACTAAAATGGGAAGCTTTTTGATATCATTAAGAATTTTAACTAAACCCAATAGGATTATAGCAACATTTTAATGCGAAGATCCATTTACAACCTCAATGGTAAGTATTAATAACCCAAAGAGAGCTGTTGACAATCTAGGCAGTATCTGTTAACAACTAACTTTATAGGATAATATAACCTCTAACAACTAATAAAATTAACTTTAAGACTATTTAGTTATAATTTAGTTAGTTATAGTTAGAAGTTATATTATCCGATAAGGTTAGTTGTTAACAGACACTGCTAAGGTTGTTAACAGTTCTCCTTAGGTTATTAATACTTACTGTTGAGGTTGTAAATGGATTTTCACATTAAAATGTTGCTATAATCCTATTGGGTTTAGTTAAAATTCTTAATGATATCAAAAAGCTTCCCATTTTAGTGTTAAAGTTGTTGTATTATAATATTTGGTTATAATTTACTCTTATGCGGAGGTTATATAATTCTATAAAGTAAGTTATTAACGAATACTGCTTAGGTTGTTAATGCCCTCTCATTCGGTTGTTAATAGTCGCTATTGAGGTTGTAAATTGATTTTCGCATTAAAATATTACTATAATCCTATTAGATTTAGTTAAAATTCTTAATGATATCAAAAAGCTTCCCATTTTAGTGTTAAAGTTATTGTATTATACTATTTGGTTATAATTTAATCTTATGCGGAGGTTATATAATTCTATAAAGTAAGTTGTTAACGGATACTGCTTAGGTTGTTAATGCCCTCTCATTCGGTTGTTAATAGTCGCTGTTGAGATTGTAAATGGATCTTCGCATTAAAATATTACTATAATCCTATTGGATTTAGTTAAAATTCTTAATGATATCAAAAAGCTTCCCATTTTAGTGTTAAAGTTGTTGTATTATATTATTTGATTATAATTTACTCTTATATGGAGGTTATATGATTCTATAAAGTAAGTTGTTAACAGATACTGCTAGGGTTGTTAACGCCCTCTCATTGGGTTGTTAATAGTCGCTGCTGAGATTGTAAATCGTAATAACAGAGCAAATGTGAATATGGAATATGAGGGGCAGTAATGTCATTTTACAAATCGAAAATATTACTCTAAGGTCCCTTGGGACCTGTCAATGATTTTAACATTTCGTGGGACCTCAGAGTAATGAATTGCCTTCTGTGGGACCTGCACGTAATTTTCCCTTAAGATAATCTTCATCATCTGGTACTATCTTCTCGAGTTTCTCAAACAGAAGCAGACCAGCTTTGGGTCAGAGTCTTGAGGGCAAAATATGGCAGCGATGATAAGGTTGGGTAACAAGAGAAAGCTCGCAATGCGTCTCACCTCTGGAAAAGCTTAGTAAGCATCAGGGCAGAAATTATTTTGGGAGTAAAATGGAACCTCGGTGATGGGAAAGGGGTACGGTTCTGATCGGACCACTGGATTGGAGACCTAGACCCCTTAAGGAACCTGGCTTTCGCCCCCATAGCAGAGGCTGAACTACACAAGTCAATATCACACTACGTAACAGATGACGGTCAATGGAAGTGGAATGAGTTTAAGGACCCGTCGCCGATGGAAATTCTGGGAATGATTGAGCAGAATAAAGCCCGGACTAACGGTGCTGTATTCGATACATGCCATTGGCATCTGAATGGAAACAAAGGCTTCACAGTGAGCTCAGCTTATCAGCTCGTAATGATGGACAAATGGTATGAAATCGACACCCAATGGGAGATTGCATGGACATGGCATGGCCCACAAAGAATTAGGACGTTCATTTGGCTAGCCTTAAATGACCGCATTCTCACAAACAGAGTACGCTGTCATATGTCCCATATGGATGACTGCGAAATCTGTGGAAGAAGACCAGAAGACTTAAACCATATAGTTCGAAGATGCAACCTTGCCCCTGCGTGCTGGAATCTTGCTCTCCCGGCAGATCAGATCATCACTTTCTTCGCCCAGCCTTTTAATGCTTGGTTTAAGCAACACCTGAACGCTAAGAGAGAAGGAGCCCACTGGAGCATCTTGTTTGGTATCATCTGCTGGAAGCTCTGGAGTGCCCGAAGTAGGTTCCTCTTCTGCCAAGACAATACAGAAGCGCACAAGCTCATAAATGAAGCCCTTTCTTGGACTAACCATGTTATTAAAGCTAAAGATTTCTTTCTGAATGTAACTTAGCGCTACTGATTGTTTTCTTTCTTCCTCTTTAGCTGCTGTATTCCCATTGTAAATATCTCGAGTAATAAAATTCCTTTTCCATTAAAAAAGAAACCCTGATCAGGACCACTCTTCAGCTTATGACTCAAGAAGACATAAATGTCATCAGAGTAGATGTATTTTTATTTGAAAGAAAATTACAAAGTTAAAAGGAAAATGAATAAAAAAGGAGGAGGACAAATCACCCCATTTCTAGGGAGGGTCTCATTCATACTTTAAGTAACGAGAAATTCTTACTGAAAGAAACAAAATACGTACCTAGAATTGACACTAGATAGTAAAGGGGGACAAAAACAATGCTTTCTGGACCGGTTTTGTGATTGGCGTAGATATAGTTGAACTAGAAAGTCTGAAATATACCTTAACACCAAGTTTGAAATATATGCTCAATGGAATGCCAAAAGTTTGACATCCACTCCCAACAGTTACAGCCTTCTTTATTGTCAACTTCATTAGGATTGCTGAAGCCACGTGAATCACTATCAACTTCATCTCTGGATTTTTGCCATCTTCCAACATTTCTACACAACAAACACCACTCACACGAGCTTATTTTAAATGGTACTGACTTAATATATGGTGTAAAATGATATTTCAAGTTGGTTCAATTACAACAAAACAAGACCAATGATTATGCAAGATATATAGTTGATGACCTACAACAATTGGATCTTATATCTATTAATACTTTCTCCTGTCCTTATTACATATATAACCGTTTCCTAAGATCCTTAATATAAAGCCTTTTGTCTAAAGCATTAGTTTCTTATCTTAATTATCTTTTATTTTGATATTTCTTAACCAAACAACCTCCTCCAGTAATAATGAACTTAGTCATTGTGGCTAATGTTGAAGTTGAAGTCAGTCCAACAATTAACCTCATCATGGTATGCAAGGGTATGCCCTACCATTCACTTGCAAGGGTATGCCCTTAGTACAATCATGTGTATCCTTACATTGGGATTCTCTTTTATAGTTGTGCCAAAAAAGACTATTATAGGACATAATTATATGATGTGTTAAAACATAAAAATGAGGTAAAATCTTATTCAACTTATGACTTCTGCCACAAATCAATGGGAAAAAAATTAAGGGAATATATAAAATCTAGTTTGACCTTTGATGGACTGTTGAAAATAAATTATGTCATACAATTAAAAGGTGAAAAATAAGAAAAATTATCCAAGATATGGAGACAAATCCGGCCAAAACCATTAACCGAACAGCGCCTATGAAAATGAGATAATTAAGGGAATATAATACTTATATGAATTGAAAGATTATATTACATTAGTGCATCAAAGAAAATTTTAAATAGCCATCATATATTTAATCTAAAACAAGAAGGGTTGATCTACGTGCCTTGGGAGCATGTAGTCATCTTTTTCAACGATGAATGGATCATGATGTCTCGGGCAGTGACCATAACTTCCATTTTTCTCAACTTCACTGATATTGTAATTATTGATGCTACTACAATCTTCGTTCCTCGTTCTTTGCCAAGCTTCAACATCCTCTTTACACACCGCTCGCCACCCACACTTTCTTATTTTAAATGTTGGGGACTTTTTTACAATTGCATTCTTAGCCAAAAATACCATTTGAAGTCCGTTCACAATCAAAGAGGAACACCGAATATATATAATACAAAGTTGATGACCACAACTTGAATCTAAATAAATATCATGGCTGTGATATGTAATTGGAAATTTATCATTAGGAAATCTGTAAGTCCAACAAATTGCATCCACCCCTGATCCAAATGCAAAATCATTTTCTATCATTAAAGATATGGCTATGCCCCACCATTCACGTGAATCACAATAATCAGGGGATATGCTTATTATGAATGACACATTTGGATGATTGAATTCTTTTTCACAAAAGTAGTTCTGATTATAAAACCATGACGGCACTTGGCTACCCGGAATTATTAATAGGCGAGTAGGTTGCATGAAGAAATCACGCTGGGACAAAAAAAAAATTCTTTTGTTGTAAGTATGATAATTAATCAGAAGAAATGTTAATATACATGTAAAAGTCAAATAAACTAGATATTTATTATCAAAGAATTTAAGAAAAGATTCAAGTAATTCTAAAAACTCACAATTTCTGAATCCCTTCTTATAATTGAAGACTTGATATTTAAATAGTTGTGAACTTATAAGAAACAATTTTCCATGTTAAAGAAGTAAAATGACCAAGATGAAAGAACAAGCAAAGACAAATAAAATAAACCTGAGGTTGAAATGATCCAATGAGATCCCATAACTGTTGTGAACTTCTGTGATGTTCCATTGACGGGCAACCGTTTGCGAATATAGCTGATAGATTTGACGGAAGTTGTGGCAAAGACCGAAGCCAGGGGCAATAACCGAGACCAAGAACAGTAAGCTTGGAAAGATTGGAAATGAGGGAAGATGGTAAGTCAATGAAATTGTTTCCACTTAGATCTAAATATTCCAACGATGATAACCCATTGATGTGATCAGGAAGTGATCCATCGTGGAGGTTGCAAAAACCTAATTCTAATTGGCTCAAGTATGACAAAGATAGCGATATGATAACATAAAATTTGTTGAGCTCAAAGGCCATTGAATAAGGGAGAAGCAACTCCATGATGATGAAGATTGTGCTTCACCATTGTATTCACAAAGTGAAAGCCTTTTTATAGCAATTTTTCTCAAATCAAGCACTTCCACAGCCTCTTTTTCGTTCAAATTCTTTGGTAGGCTTGAAAACTTTGAGCAGCCAGCAATTTTGATCATTTTCAGAGATTTCAATTTACAAACATCACATGGAAGACAAACCAGCTTTTTACAATTCTTCAAATTTAACTCCACAAGACCAATCAAATTGCCCAGTGATTGAGACAGTTTTGTTATAGCAGTCCCCTCTAAATCAAGTTTAGACAGACGTTCCATATCTTTTTCAAACTCAGGAAGTTTTATAACTCTTGAACAACCAGATAGAACAAAAGTCTCTAAGCAATTCATCTCAAATTTCCTTGGAAGGTTTTTAACTTCTCTGCAATCTTTCAAGTTAACAATGACGAGTTTCTTGTGTTGTCCAAGGGATTGGTGAATTTCAATCAAGTTAGAACACCCTTCAAGAATCAATTTTTCAAGATGAGGAATTCCATCAAAATTTGGAGTTTTGATGAGGTACTCTGAATAAGAAAGATCAATGGACTTGAGGCTTTGGAGAGACTAACAACAACAAAAAGGGAAACATTAAGGCCTCAAAAACCAAAAACTAATTATAATTATAAATTATTAAATTATGCACAAATAATTTAAATGGAAGGGCTATAATTACCGGTCTTCCGCTCCAAAGTTCTTTTAACTTGCTATGGCGCATTATTAGTCCAACAAGTTGATGGAGTTGAGGCTGACTTGGCAAGTAAAATAATGGATACCTCTCCCATATTATCACTTTCAACTCTTTGGAAAGGGCCTTGAGTCCATAAGGAAGATTCAATTGAAAACGTAAAACATGTGAGCAATTTGAAATGATAAGTAACTTGAGATTACTCATTTTTGAGAAGGCTTCAGGATCCCAAAATGCATCACATGACTTTTCTAATGTGAGAATTATTCCCCGAATAGCATCTGTCCCCTACAAAACAAGTTCAGGTAAAAATATATAAAAGTCATGAAATAAATTGTTATAAAAATAGTGCAAAAACACAAGAACTCTGGAATGTCACCTTATTGTTTTCTAATACATGATTGGCATCCTCCAAGGACAATAACCTAGAATGCTTGCCGGCATCATTAGGTGATTTTTTGTAGACAATATATTTACCCATATTTTGAAGAATTTCATGCACCCACAAATGCCCTTCATAATTAATTACTAAGGATTGCTCAATAAGAACATTTATTCCAATTTTTGGGTGAAGATCATTGTCCAAAATTTCTAAAATTTGTATGACATTATCTTGGACCATTCCATTGAAAAAGCAAGCAATATCCAAGAATATAGTCTTTTGTGTAATGTCTAATCCACCAAAACTTACTTGAAGTATCTTTAAAATGTCATTTGGAGGAACTTTCTTGAACTTAGCTAGTGCATGCTTCCATTGCACTATAGTTCTTTTGCAAAGAAATGAACCTAACACTTTGAGCGCTAAAGGAAGGCCTCTAGCATATTCAATGACGGTTCTAGCAAGGTTCAAATAATCTTCATTAGGTTTATCTCCTTTAAAGGCTTTTTGAAGGAAAAGTTCAAGAGACTCATTATCACTCAAGAATTTCACATCATACTTAGTAGATACACCATGCGAGGATAGCAAATGCTTGTCCCTGGTTGTTATTATTATTATACTCCCTTTGCTGAACCATCCTTGCTTTGGAGCCAAATTTTCAAGTTGGCTAATGTCACTCACATCATCAAGGACAAGTAGAACTTTTCTATTGCACAACATGTTTTTTATCAACTTCTTTCCTTCATAACAATCACACACTTCCATACTTCTTTTCTCTAAAGAAAAAAGAATTCTTTTTTGCAATGAAATCAAACCTTCTTTTTCATATGCCTCTCTAATATTATGAAGAAAGCAGTGAATCTCAAAGTTTTTGAGCTTTCGCTCATAAAAAGCTCTAGCAAGAGTTGTTTTGCCTATACCTCCTGTATCCCATATTCCTATAAACCCAACTCCTCCCAATTCCCTTGCGACGATTGACTCTAATTCATCTAATTTTGGTTGAATTCCAATTAACATACCAAGGTCAGATGGCAATTCATCATCAAGTAACTTTGACATGATTTCTTCAGCAATGCTTTCAATGAATTCCGTTTCATGCCTGCATAGGAAAATATAATTATACCGACATGAAAATAATTTCATTATTGAAGAGTTGCGCAGAGCTTCTAGTATTTACAGACAGAAACAGAGGGTGAGAAGCTACGGTATAGTCTAGTCTTGATGCAAAAGAGATTAAGAAAGAAGATTGCTACCATTGTGTGTGTGTACACACACTTTGCGAACTCCTAAATACTGAAGCCATTTAATTATATTAACGTAAACATATGATTGTTGGAGTTCACTTTTTTTGGTAACATGTTTTATAGTTGACCCTTGAGTAGTTTTTCTTTGTTTTATTTAAGGAACAACGTCAGATTAAAAGTTCAATATGTAACGCTGTATGGTAACATTTCCAACCATCAAAAAATAATAGATATTATTAATTATTAATAAATAAACAACGAAAGTTTTCTTTTGGACAAAAATAAACAATGAAACTTCAAAATACAGAGAAATTATTAATATTAATTTTTTAACTATTGAATTACATAATAATTATATTATGTAATTTTACTAGAAGTCAACAGACCTGCTTGATACGCTAAAGAAAAATGACCATTTCAAAATGCTATCATTGATTGAATTCAATTGAGAAACCTATTTCGTCAACAACAAATATAAACAATAGCACTACAAGTCTATTAATTTTGCTAGCAAATAAATGAACTCTAAAGTTTAGTTGAATATCAACACCCTTATTTTCAACAAAATAAAAATAAAAGATTGTTATTGAGAGAAAAGTAATTACCAATTTTGTGAGTCCCAACCAGATATAGTAGCAACTTTTTCTAACGCATCCCTCCATTTTCGCACTTTCATTTTGTCTTGTACAAATCTTTCTTCATGCTTTATGAATGCCTCTGCAAAACATCCCTTTTGTTTCCTAACATCGGAGGGATCTACATGGTAAAATATTGGAAATACTTGAAGACTCGACTCTTCCTTTAACTGCAGGATCTTTCGAAGCTCATCCAAACACCAAGTTGAAGAAGCATAATTTGAGGAGAGCACCACAATTGCAGAACGAGATTCATCAATTGCTTGTAATAAACCTGGATTAATATATTCTCCCCTTTCAAGTTCTTCCTCATCCCGAAAAGTTCTCAATCCTTTGCGTTTTAAAGCAACATACAAATGATCAGTAAAATTTTTCCGAGTATCTTCCCCTCGAAAGCTCAAAAACACATCATACTTCCATCTCTTAGTTGAGGCAGAAGAGCTTGAAGAACACCCAACTCCATCGACATCACGCGCCATCGCAAGGATCTGGAATCTGAATCCAAACAAAAGTAAAAACACAAAAACAGAAAGAAGAATACATATATAATAGGAGCTTCAACAAAGAGTGCAGCAATCAGTCCAATGCGAAGCCTTGAGAGAGGCATTGGGCATATTACAACATATAAAGTAAAAATTCAAAATCACAAAATGCTCGAAGATCCATAACAGAAACAATCCATTTCACTGAAGAAAACAAGATATAATAGAAACACCAACAGACAAGGTTCTTCTCACCGCAAGATTTCCACTCTTCATGCAAAGTTTGAAAGCAAAATTTCACAGATCTAACCAAGTCATTTCAGTGATAAAAAAATGTAGAAAGGAGAAAGGAAGAAAGTAGAAACCTGAAATATGAAATAATATCGAAAGATTTGTTCGATTCCCACCGCCCTGATATAAGATGAAGTCCAGCAGCCTGGTACAGATTTTAAAGAAAGAAAAATGAAGAAAAAATGAGAAGTGAAAAAGGTCGGAGTGAGCCGCAAGTCTTCTCTCAGGTCTTCCAGTCTTCGGGCGCTGACGTTTCAAACCGCGTTCTGGACGGGACACTGTTCCATTTTGCTGAAGGACAGAACCATGTGACCCTACGTCAGTCCATTATTGGGTTTTCCTTTTCACTTTTTAGACATTTGAATAGTGTAATTATTGGAAATTAAGAGTTTAATTTTAAAAGACTAATTAATTCATTAGATGAAATAGCTCCCCGGTGTGGGAGATTCATGATGATGCATTTCTCAGAGAACTTAATTTCAAAATACTAGCTCATTAGTAACAGCTTATAAGTAGTTTTATGGAATATGAGGTAAATATGTAAAAAAGTTTTATTGTGACTTATATAAAAAGTGTTTATAAGTGCTTATGAACAGGTTTTAGACAGGAGATTATCTTGAAGTTATAAACTATACTACTTCCTGAGGTATTTCAATATGGGAAATGAAAGAAAACAGCAAATTCCTGTATTACCATTTCCACAGACTTCTCCCAAAAAATGAGAAACAATTCTAAAGTATTAAAACCCTATCTTTCTTAGTTCCGCTCCGCAAAGGATGTTTATCATCTTTTGCCCATTGTGTTAGAAAGGCAACACAGGAAGATTTTGGAAGGTGCTGTGCAACTTCCTAGTAATATTCAAGTTCTTGTTTTTGATATCTTTTGGTTTAAACTAACTTGTCTCATTTATAACTTGATACATGATCTAATGATCTACTCATATGCTATAATTAAGCAATTTAGTAAATCTTTTTCAAATTAATCAACTAGATCATATATATATATATGTATTAAATATTAGAGGTAATAGTAATTTAGCTGCTTTTTGTTTTTAATAATAATTTTTTTACGGCCACCATAATAATTATATATATAGGGAAAATTAATCTTTTGATTCTCATGGTTTTAACTCATTGGTAACCCAACCTTAGATTATAACTCGGTGCAATTCAATCCTATAATTTTAACTTAATTGTAACTTAATTCCTAAATTTTAATTCGATGCAGCTCAATTCCTATAGTTTATTCATTTACAAATTAGTCCATGTATTTTAGAAAATAAAAATTATGGAAAATTAAAATTTTAATCTGTATAATCTCATTGAATATATAATTAGGTCCCGTAGTTTATATCCTTTTGATTAACTCCTTGCACCGCGAATGGCGTTCCTTCTCACCATTAATTAAGTAGCTGTTATGATTTAGCCATTTCATTATCTCACTTTCAACCCCCGAAATTTAAAAAAACAAAGAAAAGAAAAGAAAAACGAGACTCCTTGTATGTCTGTAAATGAGTTAAAGATTATTTGACTGTGGTGGCCTTCGATAAATTTTTTTGCTGTCATATTTTAATATTTTGATCAGAAAGTAAATTGTAAGCATGCAAATGTTGAATAAGTAGACAAAAAAACAATGATCAAACAATAGATATCATCTTCATGTCAGTGGAGTGTTGAGATTTGAATCGATAAAGAATATACGCCGTATGAAGAACAACAGTCGAAATTGACTCTGTTTTAGGAGTGTTTGGATATCATCCCATGCTATTATCATATTGTTTCCATTGCCTCTGTTTTTGGGGTCCGAAAACAGAGGTAAACAGAGGATCCTTTGCCTTCTGCTTGTTTCAATCGTGCATGTACAAATATTACCTTGTCGAAATTTTATTGTTCAGACATAAGCTAAATCCTCTGTAAATATTGAAAAGAAAAAAAGAAAAGTTAAGCTCAGGAGAAATCAGTGTCAAGCCTTGAAGAGTATCGGCCCTAATTATATATTGAATGAAATTATAAAGAATAAAATTTTAATTTTCCTAGGGAAAAAAAAAGTTTATAGGCTTGGCAATATATATTATGCTCAAAATTGAAAAGCCCTAATTTAAGCTCATTTGTTACTATTAAGCCTCATTTTGGCGCAGCGCTTTTCCCTCAATTCTGTATGTATATCAAGACATGTGATTTACATGATTAAAACTTGTTCAAAATAATTTTTAACTGTTAAATTAAATTTTAGAAGCGTAACCTCTATTAATTTCATGAAGAATAACCTGATATCTTATTGGGTTCCCTTCACCATTTTACGATTTTAACTTCGTGGTTAGTGCTTTGAAGTTTTCTTTTCCTGATGGCAGTTGCAGCATTACAAGAGTTTGCACTTTTCCTTTTGTAACTTCGAAGGTCGAACATTACAAACAAATTACAGTGTTTTGGTCCTGCTCCGAATTACAAAACCACAAACAATAAACCGGGGAATCAAAAATGAAAACAGAAAGAAAGATAATCTTCTCACGCGACGACCCTTTTCAGTCGAATCAATGGAGGGATGCTGAGATTTGTGGTGAAGATGAACAGTCTCCACAAACAAAGGTGGCTGCTACTGCGCGGCGGGGTTCTCTGCTTGGCCAAGTCTTCCCAACACACATTTTAAACTCTACACTAACAAACACCATCTCCGATCATAAACATATACAAGAATTTGAGTAGATTAAAAAAAAAATTAGTAATTTATAATAAATAGATATTATTTTTGCTATTTGCTAATCAAATTTATTGGTTAGAACTACTATTATTAGGAAGACTATCTTTACAAAATTATGTAAATATGAAAGACAAAATAGATTGGGATTTTATATTTAGGACCAAATAAAAGTCAAACAAAATCTTATATTAAGGATCAGAGGTAGTAGCAAATAATATAATATTCCTCCAGTCCTTAATATAGAATATAATTTGAGAGTTGATATTGGTCCTATATGTAAGACCCATTCACATATTTATCAATGCTTTTTAAATTAACCATAATAATATTCCTTCAATAATAATTAAATGAGAGAGGGAGGAAATAAATTAAAGAAGATGATTAAGGTATTTTGAAAAAACATATCATATTAACTAATTTAACTAATATATTTAATTTACTCAAAATAATTAATTAAGTTTTATATTAAGAGTTGAAGAATGTAAGATTAGCTAATTCAAAAACAGGATAATGGTACAGTGACATTGACCATGAAGAAGAATGGAGCCATTGGAACTGAACACGAAGAGGAGGACAAAATTATTTGAATTTTTTTAAAAAAAAATAAAGAAATGAAACTATTAATATGTACAGACCTTTATCACGATCCTTGGTTATTTTTAATCTAACGTTTTATTTTCTCCCTTCACTCTCCCACCTCAGCCTCAATTCTATTTTCTTTCCTTTCTTCTTCGTTCCCTCAACCCAGAATAACATTGCATGCATCACCAGTCCCGCCTCACACACTTAGGATACAAGATCATCCTTTTCAGCTTACGCCAGTGTTACTGCCGTCGTCAAGCTAAAGATTCCCAAAGTTTGACTCTTGCTTCAAATTTGAGGTGCGACACTCCTAAATCTTAACAAAAATCAAAGTGACCCAAAATATTCATGCCTCACGAGTTTCTTCATCAAATCTGGTTCGCTCCAAGGTTCGACACTCCTATACCTTTTCCATCTTCTCCATCAAAAATGCTTTTGAAGATTCATATCTTAGATTGTCTAGGCACCTACGACTTTAAGAAAGAACTAATAGGTACTACTGTCTCTGATTCTTAATATAAAAACTATTTTGACATTTAATTTCGTCTTAAATATAAGATTTCTTATCAATTTTATTTTTCATATTTATCTATTTTTTTCAGAGTAGTCATTGTTATAGTTGCGTATGTTAAAAGTTCTATCAAATGATAATTTTAGCTAATACATATGATTATTAAGAGTATTCTAGAAAAAATAACATATTTATTACAATTAACTAATTTAACAAACTTCATCAATCTACTCAAATTAGTTGACTAGTTCTATATTAAGGATTAAATGTAGTATAATTTATTGGAATTATAGTCTCTTTTTTGATGAGTATGAAATATATAGTGCTTCTGTAATTCTAATGATTGAGTTATTCTTTTTTTTGTGTGTTTATAATAATGGAAGATAAGAGACTGAATAGTTGTGATTTGTTTTTTAGAAAAACAGCATTCACATTGGTTATATTTTAACTTACATTTTTTAAAAAAATTTCACATTGTTTAACCGATGCAAATTTTGAACACAAGCTAAATCGTTCACATTTTCGTCCCTCCATTGGCCGACATGAAAAGTCCTATGTAACCAACGTAAAATATCATTTCTATAGTGGTGGGAAAATTCAAAAAGAAAAGGGCAAACCCAGTTTCTAGTCCTTGTAGTTTGGGTCAACTTTGGTCAAGGTCCCTAAAGTTTGTTTTTTAAGCTATTGGTCCCTCAAATTTAAAACTGTTAAGCCGTTAGTCCTTCTACTTCTTGAGGGTTAAGTTTGACCGTTAATTGACCAACTATGCTGACCTAGCAGATCGATGTGTTGTCCATGTCATTTTCTTTTTTAGGTTAAGTGCAAATTTACCCCAAAAGTTTTCACTCATAAGCGCTGAGTATTCTAAAATTTCAAATTGTAGCAATATTGTCCGAACTGTTATCAATGTTAAATTTGATCACTAACTAACCAAATATATTGAGTTGGTATGTTTACATGTGATCCACATCGTTCCTAGATCATACATTAATGCTATTTCTCCCACACAAAAACAACTCTTTCCACATCTGTTATTTTGTCATTCGCTATTAGTTTAATACGTTTTACAAGAACATATATAAGAAGAAGCTCACAAGAATTTTTAAAAGATATAAATAATGAGGACGACTTCGAAAATAGCCACAGGCTTAAAAAGCACAGAAGCATTGATTTTTTCAAAGTTAGTGCTAAATCCTCACCTTGAAGAAAAAATAAAATAGATCACACGTGGATCTACCAGTTCAACATATTTGATTAATTAATGATCAAATTTATCATGGATAACAATCGAGGTAACATTACTATAATTTGAAAACTTTAGAATACCAAGCGCTCCTAAGTAAAACCTTTCTGGGCAAATTTGCACTTAACCGAGAAAGAAAAATAATGTGGACAGCACGTGAACATGCCAACTCAATATAATTAGTTAACTAATGGTCAAACTTAACCCAAATAACGATCAGGATAACATTACTACAATTTGAAAACTTTTAGAATGACATTAAACCAAAAACTACTTCCAGAGACTTAGCACTTTAAATTGCAAACTTTTTAAACAAATTTATAGCTTAACTCTATATTATTATTAGCCCTAATAATTCGGCTTTTTTGTTCTTATATTATTGTACTTTGAACCTTATTATTATCATTAATATTATTTTGCCTTTATTTTTTTAAAAAAATTATGATCCAGACTTAGATGATAGTGCATTGAAAATTAAAACTCCATGTTTACCAATATATCAAAGTTGATGCTGATCTGGCATATCATAGCATTTCTACCATTAAAATAATATCGGTGCATTGGCAAATGCAGTACAACAAATGGTAAGCTAATATCGAATGCCATACATCATAGCCTACTGAAAAAACCCACTAATTCAGACTAGCCCCTCCCCTATATTACAAGGATATCATACCAATCAAAAAAATTAAAACTCCAACTGCATCAAAAAATTAACATGGTCATTAATTCCCTGATATTCTCATGCAAAGCATCATCCTCCCGTGATCATTTGTCACGTGAAATCTTCACTGCTACTTCATAACCCAACTGGTTTGAAAGCAAAGATTGTCTTCCTCCCTCACTGGACGTAACCATTCTTGCTTGTTGTGAACCAACCTTGCATTCTTATAGTTCCTAATTCTTCTACCATCAAAATCCATATAATCAAACAATTCATCTGTCTCAGTCGTCAATGCAACACGCCCTCATTAGTTAATAGACATTTACCATACAGAACATTATTCCTCTTCTCCCACATGATATACAAGCATCGACCTGCAACTCATCCCTGACACCTGGGTGAGCGAGCCATTTTTTAAGCCAGATAATAAGACCTCCTGTCGTATGCAGAACCATAAGCAGAATGGGTAAAGTTATTCACAGCCAGAGGCAAAATTGATTCCAACAACATCGTACTCTATGATGCCCAGAAATTAAAATCAACAAGAAAATCATAGTCTATGATGCCCAACAACCAATTCCCCAACGAGAGAGAGAACAAAAACGCAATACACAATCTGAAAAAACAAATAACAAAAAAAAATTGACATGGAAAAAGAGAGAATAGAGAACAAATGAATGAGGAGGAGGTGAAGGTTAAGAGTACTGGATCTCTTTACCATCGCCAACCCTTCTTTTCCTTTGAAGATCTATACCCTTCTCGCGACCTCCTTTGTCGATCCCAAGCCCTTCGCGATCTGTACCCTCTCTTTGCCAGCCACCCCCTCTGCTTGCAGGCCCTCCTCCACTCTGCGTTCCATGATTGCGTTTCTTTCGTTCTTTTCTTTATCACATTGTTGTCTGAGTTAAAATTAAAATGCCAAGTTGTCAACTCATTATTTTTTGCCACATGATCACTATTAACACTGTTAGTGCACATCAGCACCCTCAAGAAGCAGGACTAACGGCTTAACAGTTTTAGATTTGAAGGACCAATTCCTTTAAAAACAAACTCCAGGAACCTTGACCAAAGCTGACCTCAACTCTAAGGACCGGAAATTGGGTTTTCCCAAAAGAAATTGACAAATCACCCCTTTCGTAATTCACATGTTTAAGTGACAAGAAATCCTGACTAAAAGAAACAAAGCATGTACCTAGAACTGACTCGACAATGCAAAAACAAACTGCTTACAGCGATGAAAAAAATGTTTTCTATAAGAGTTTTATAACTAGTACAGATACAGCTCGATATAAAAAAAAAAAAACAAGAAACTTGAAATGCACTTTAGTACCAAATCTAAAATAGATGCTCAAGAGAATGCCAAGAGTTTTGACATCCACTCCCAACAGCTGCAGCCTTTTGTATTCTGCTTTTTTTTTTTTTTGGTGACCAAAGCTGCCTTCTGTATTCTCAATGTCACTGGGAACGTTGAATCAATATCAACTTCATCTCTAGATTTTTGCCATCTTTCAACATTTCTGCGCAAGACGCACCACTCACACTTATCTTAAACAGTACTGACTTAATACATAGTGTTAAATGAGATTTCAAGTTGGTTCGATTAGAAACAAAATAAGAACAACGAATATAATATGCATAATATATATATATATTTGGATACCGATGGCAATTAAATCATCTATATCTTAAAATCTTGTCTTTTAAGTGTTAGTTTCTTATCTTAATGAACTTGATGTTTCTTTACCTACCAACCTCCTCCAATAATGAACTTGGTCATTGAGGATAATCTTAAATTTTTTTAAAAAATTAATAATTAATATTAACTAAATTCTTAAATTTATATGAAATTGTTCATAAGTCTTTATAGTAAAGACCGTAGAGAGTCATATTGTCACAATATGCAACAAAATATGCATCTTAAGGAGATATGTTAGTCCAGCAAATTAATTTCATCGAAGTGATACCAAATTAGTTTCTAATACTAAGCACAGCTATGCCCAGTCATTCTTTTGAACAAGGGTATATACTAAAAAAGTAATAATGTATGTCTTCACATCGGAATTCTCTCTTATAATTGCGTAAAAAAAAACTAACTATCACGCATAATTATGTGCTAAAACATAAAAATGATGTAAAACCTCCTTCAACTTATGACTATCTGCCACAAATCAATGGAAATATTAAAAAAAAATTAAGGGAATACATAAGATCTAGTTTGATCTTTGACAGACAGTTGCAATTAAATTATGTCATACAAGTAAAAGTCAAAAAAAAAAAAAAGAATCCCAAGAAAGCAAACCCAATACTATGAATTGATCAATGCCTATGGAAATGAAATAATTAGGGAAATATAATATTTAATGAATTGAAAGATTATATTAAGTCAATGTATCAAAGAGAAATCCAAACACCCATCAAGCATGCATTAATATAAAATATAAAATTTAATCCAAAACAAGGGTTGATCTATTTACCTTGGAAGTTGACTCGTCTTCTTCAACAATGAATCGATCATAATGTCTCAGGGAGTGATTATAACCTCCATTTTTCTTAACGTCACCGATGATGTAATTATTGATGCTACTACAACCTTCGTCCCACGGGCTCTTGGTCAAGCTTCAACATCTTCTTTACACACTGCTCGCCACCCACACTTCCTTATTCTAAACATTGGTGACTTGTTTTCAATTGCATTCTTAGCAAAGAATACCATTTGAAGTCCGTTTACAACCAAAGAGGAACAACGAATATATATCATACAAAGTTGAGGACCACCATACGAATCTATATAAACCTTAGTGCGACAATACGTCTTCGGAAATTCATCAATAGGAAATCTTAACGTCCACCAAACTGCATCCACCTCTGCTCCAGTTGCAAAATTATGTTCTAATATTAAGCATATGGCTATGCCCCGCCATTCACTTGAACCACAGTAACCAGTGGGCAAGCTTATTATAAATGACACATTTGGATGATTGAATTCTTTCTCACAAAAGTAGTTTTGGTTATAAAACCATGATGGCACTTCGGTACCATGAATCATCAATACGCGAGTACGTTCCAAGAAGAACTCACGCTGGGACCCAAAAAAAAAAAAAAAACAGATAGTTTGTGTTAGAAGTATGATAATTAACACGTAAGAAATTGTAATATGTATGTAGTATGTACAAGTTTAAGGAAAAACAATCAAGTGATTCTAAAAACTTACAACTTTTGAGTCCCATTGTATAATTGCAGGCTTGATATTCAAATGGTTGCGAACCTGTGAGAAACAATTTTCCATGTTAAAGAGGTAAAACGACTAAGGTGTAAGAAGAAAATAAAGACAAATAAAATAAACCTGGGGTTGAAATGATCCAATGAAATCCCATCATGCCGTGAACTTCTGCAATATTTCATTGATGAACAACCATTTGCAATTATAAATGACAAATTTGAAGGAAATTGTGGCCAAGACTGAAGCCTTGGGCAATAAGCGAGGGCAATAGCCCTAAGCTTTGAAAGATTGAAAATAAGGCCAGATGGTACGTCAATAAAATTGTTTCCACTTAGATTTAAAACTTGCAATGATGATAACTCATTCATGACATCGGGAAGTGATCCATCATGGAGTTTGCAAAAATCTAAATGCAATTCGCTCAATAGTGACAAAGACGGTTGTAACAGATGCGGAAAATGAGGGCTTTGATAAGGATAATCCAAGAGTTGTGGAGCAGCCCAACATACTGCGAAGGAGCCAGCGAGCATGGAAGAAGCCTTGGAAGCTTCAAGAACTAGAGAACACGGAAATGGTTATATAAGGACAGGTGGTTAGAGGGAAGGGGAGTGAATGATATTGGTTATTTCCGTCCTGACAGATTCTCTGTAATTCTCTCTCCCTGCATTTTTCTATCATTCTCTTCTTTCTGTTATTCTGTATCATGTGGCTCAACTCATGAGGTTGAATAAGCTCTGTAATCGCACCCTTATTGACATACATATATACATTCAGAGCTGTTAATTGCTCGCATAGATTTTTATCGCACTCACTAACGTGACATTTGGTGCTTTCATTGAGAGGTTTAGGGAACAAGGCAGAGAACAACCGCTTGAAGGAACTACAAGCTGATATAAAGAGGACAAATGAGTTTGTAGAAGAAGCTAAGGGGCATTTTGACCAGATTGATCGACGATTCGATTCTATGGAATCTTGTTACATTCCCTAGTGTAGTCGATAGACAGCTTGAAGCGACAACCAGAATCATCACCTTCAAGATCTAAGGATTCAACCTCCAGAATACCGATTGTAGAACTAGTGAACTTTATTCAGAACTCGCATAAGACCATTAAGGTGGATTTTTAACATTTTGATGGATCAGATGCACTGGATTGGATTTTTAAGGCAGAGAGGTACTTGAAGTATTTTGAGATTCATTTTGATGGATCAGACTCGCATAAGACCATTAAGTATTTTGAATCTCCAATGAGTTTTTATATTAAGAACCGGAAATAGTATTAAATTATGAACAAACAATTTAAATGAAAAGGGTTGTCATTACCTGTCTTCCCCCCAGAGTTCTTTTAACTTACTTTGTCGCATTTTTAGCTCAACAAGTTCATGGAGTTGAGATTGACTTGGCAAATAAAATAATGGAAACCCCTCCCATTCTATGACTTTTAGCCCATTGGAAAGGGATTTGAGTCCATAAGAAAGATTCAATTGAAAATCTAAATCATGTGAGCGACTTGAAATGATAAGTAACTTGAGATTACTCATCTTTGAGAAAGCTTCAGGATCCCAAAATACGTCAGATGACTTTTCTAATGTAAGAATTATTCCTGGATTGCTTTTGTCCCCTATAAAACAACAAGTCAAGGTAAAAATGTAAGAAAAAGTTATGAAATATATCAATATTAAAAGAGCACATAAGTACAAGAACTTTGGAAGAATATCACCTTATTTCTTTCTAGCACATGATTGACATCCTCCAAAGACAATATCCTGGAACGCTTGCCGGCATCATCATGTGATTCTTGATAGACAATATATTTACCCACATCTTGGAGAATTTCATGGACCCACAAATGCTCTTCACGATTAATTATAAGTGATTTCTCAATAAGAATATTTATTCCAATTTCTGGGTGAAGATCCTTGTCCAAAGTTTTTAAAATCTGTATGACACAATCTTTGACCATCCCATTAAAAAAGCAAGCAATATCCAAAAATATAGTCTTCTCATTAATGTCTAATCCATCCAAACTTACTTTAAGTATCTTCAAAATGTCATTTAGAGGAATTTTCTTGAACTTAGCTAGTGCATCCTTCCATTCCCCCATAGTTCTCTTGCAAAGAAATGAACCTAACACTTTGAGGGCTAAAGGAAGGCCTTTGGCATATTTATAATTGTTCTAGCAAGGTTCAAATAATCTTCATTATGTTGCTCTCCTTTAAAAGCTTTTTGAAAGAAAAGTTCAAGGGACTCATTATCACTCAAGAAATTGACATCATACATAGCAGTTACTCCATGTGATGATAGCAAATGCTTATCCCTTTTTGTTATTATTACTATGCTCCCTTTGCTAAACCATCCTTGGTTTGGTGCCAAATTTTCAAGTTGGCTTAAATCATTCACATCATCAAGGACAAGTAGAATTTTTCTGTCGCCCAACATGTTTTTTATCAACTTCATTCCTTCATAACAATCACCCACTTCCATACATCCTTTATCTAGAGAAAAAAGAAGTTTTCTTTGCAACGAAATCAAACCATCTTTTTCATATGCCTCCCTAATATTATGTATCAAGCAGTGAATCTCAAAGTTTTTGCACGTCCGCTCATAAAATACTCTAGCAAGAGTTGTTTTACCTAAGCCTCCTGTGCCCCATATTCCTATAAATCCAACCCCTTCCGATTCCCTTCCTACGATTGACTCCAATTCATCTAATTTTGGTTCAATTCCAATTAACATACCAAGGTCAGATAGTGATTCATCAAGTAATTTTGACATCACTTCCTTAGCAATGCTTTCAATGAATTCTGTTTCATGCCTGCATAATACGAAAATATGGCTTTTTTTTCTGGACATGAAAATATCATGACCATTTGAGTCATTTGAATTTTAAAATTGTATGCATAAACACTAAATAGTTAATATGAGATATAAAGAAAACATGACCACAACTGCAGCGATTTTAAATTCACCGTGAAATTTAATTTAACTTTTAGGAGTAGAGGATAATTTAATTTATAGACGAGCTGTACATAGTTTTTTTTTTGTAATCATAGACAATCACGAAGAATGAGAAGCTATAATACAGTCTAGTCTTTGATACAAAGAAGCAAAATCCCTAAATTTTCTAATGAGATTATGAACTATAGTTATCACCATTGTGTGCGCGCGTACACACTGTGCCAACCCCTAGATATTGAAGTCATTTAATTAACACATTACTAGTATTCATTATTGAGAACCCCTTTTTGGTTATATGGTTCATATTTGACCTTTTAGAGTAATTTGAGTAGTTTTTCTTCATGTTATTCAGGAAACTTTTCACAATATACATTGTCAAATTAAAGGTTCAAATCTAATGCTGTATGGTAACCCTTCCAACTATCAAAAACTAACATTTATTATTAATGAATAATTAATAAAAAATGAAACTTCAAAATATAGAGAAATTATTAATATTAATTTTTTTAATGATTAAATTACATAATATTTGTGTAATTTTATTAAAATTCGACATACCTGCTAGATATATTAAAGAAAATGACCAATTCAAAATGCTATCATTGATTTGAATTCAATTGGGAAACCTACTTCATCAACAATCAATACTATAGTGTTGGCCAAAAAAAATCAACACTATAGTACTGCAGCTCTATATTACCAACAAATAGAACTACAAGTCTAAAATTAAATAAATGAAGTTTATAGTGCTATTTAGTGGAAGTTTTAAGCAGTTCCCTTACCCTTAAAAAATTAAGAAAAAACCTTGATGTAATTCAGAGTTTATTTTGAATATCCTTGCCCTTATTTTTTGACCGAAATTTAAAAAAAAAAAAAAACAGAGATGGTTATTACTAAGAGAAGTGGAAGTTATCAGTTTTTTGAGTCCCAACAAGATATAGTGGCAACTTTTTCTAAAGCATCCCTCCACTTTTGCACCTTCATTTTGTTTTTTAGAAATCTTTCTTCATGCTTCTTCAATGCTTCCGCAAAACTCCCCTCTTGTTTCCTAACATCAGACGGATCTACACCATAAAATATTGGAAATACTTGAAGACTGGACTCTTCCCTTAACTGAAGGATCTTTTGAAGCTCATCCAAACACCAAGTTGAAGAAGCATAACTTGGACTAAGCACAACAATTGCACAATGAGATTCCTCAATTGCTTGTTGTAAACTTGGTTTGATAGATTCTCCTCTTTCAAGTTCTTCCTTATCCCTAAAAGCTTTTAATCCTTTGCGTTTTAAAGCAGCATACAAATGATCAGTAAAACTGGTCCTAGTGTCTTCCCTTCGAAAGCTCAAAAACACATGATACATTCTTCTCTTAGTTGAACCAGAAGAGCTTGAAGAATGCCTAACAGCATCAGCATCACGCGCCATTGGAAGGATTTGGAATCTGACCAATGCGGAAACCGAGAGAATAATACATATATAGATGGATTTCTTTGAGCTTCTACAAACAGTGCAGCAATCAATGAGGGGATACTGAATACGGAAGAAAGTGAAATCAACTTTTGTAAATATCCCTTACGTTCTATTTGAGTTTCAAAGCAAAACCTTGAGAGAGGCACGGGACATATTCAAATATATCCATGCCCACACAGTCCCACGTCACAAATCAGTAAATAACACATTTCAGTATTTCACAGAAGAAAACAAGATATAATAGAAACATCAGCGGGCAGGGTATCCACACAAGATATAATACTAAAATTTATATTAAAATAAATTTTATTTACTATTTTACTAAAAATTCTTGTAACTATAAAAATATAATTTAATAATTTATTAGAATGAGCAGTAAAATAGTAAATAAAATTTATTTTAATATAAATTTTAGTTAAAAATAACACTCCTCCGATCATAAATATAAGACCCATTTTGTAGTGTAATTTATATTACAAAATGATTTTTATATTTAGGACCAGAGTAGTATCTTTTAAAATCTTTTTAGAATATTTCTAAAAGTGTCAACTAATTATAATAAACTGTATATTTTTAAATAGAGAGGAGGTCTATATAATTGATGCAAGCTAAGAGGATAGTCAAAGTATTTTACTCTAAATTTTTATTTGAATAGTTTTTCTTAATTTTATTCAAGCAATTTTTAACAAAATACATTGTCGGATTAGCATTTCAAATCTAATGCTATACGGTAACGTTTTCAACCATCAAAAGTTAAAAACTACTATTAATTAATTATTAATAAAATGATTTTTTTTAAAATTTAGAAATTATGAATTATTGATATTTATTTTTGAATCTTTGATAATAACAATCCTTTAAGAATTACTCAAAATTTCAATTGATTTTTCTATATCCATGCCAATTAAATTACTTGATATTTTATCCCGATATGATAAACATATTAAACAAATAATTATTTGTAAGGAAAATAATTAAGGAAAACCATAAGAAAACACTAATTGTTCAAAATAATTTTAGCCAAAGTCAAGGATTTACTATGACAAAGGATGAATTAGTAAATAAATATGTATTAAACTTGGTTTAATAGATTCTCCCCTTTCAAGTTCTTCTTCATCCCTGAAAGTTTTTAATCCTTTTGCGTTTTAAAGCAGCATACAAATGATCAATAAAACTTATTCGAGTATCTTCCCCTCGAAAGCTCAAGAACACATGATACTTCCATCTCTTAGTTGAAGCAGAAAAACTTGAAGAGCCCCCAACTCCATCAGCATCATGCTCCATTGCAAAGGATTTGGAATCTGAACACAAAAGTAAAAGTACAAAAACAGAAAGAAAGTGAACCAATATTTGTAAGATGTATTTTCCCGTCTATTTGAGTTTCAAAGCAAATTAAATCTTGAGATAGGTAATGGGCATATTCAAAAGGAAAAACAAAGTACGACGAAAATTTAAAATCTCAAAATGCTCGCAGATCGAGTATCCTCAAATATAATGCATAAATAATCATTTTTATTTATGAATAAAATAAAAAAATAAACAAAAAGATGAGAGATAAGCGCATGATGATTTGATCCAGCACATGACAGCACATGGGTAATTAGTCTCTGGTGTTAATAGGTTGCTATACCAAACCAAAACTTTTAGATAGAACAGAAATGTCATTCCCAGATTCAAAAGTTCCTGAAAATTTCAGAGATAGTAAATAGAGATCTAAAAGAATTGGCAAGGAAGAAAATCGATCACAGGAAGATTGAATTGATAAATCTATGTCTATATTCCTTACGGTCTATTTAATTATTGTTCATATCTTCCTTGACTACCAGGGAACTTCTCTCTCTTGAGTGGGAGCTTTTCTCTCTCCACGTGAGAGTTTGTTACGGCAGTTATCACCGATTTCTTCTGTGAATCCTGTTTCCGTCGTATGGTGTGATGGTGAGAGAGGTAATCTGAGAGAGCTTCGTTGCCCACTACGACGAAGTGAAGAAAGAGTGATTCCTTTGTTACTCATTGTAACAGAGGAATAGTGAGGATAGAAGTTTGGAGGTACTTGGAGTGGTAGTCTGAAAGAGCTCCATCGCCTACTGTGGCAGGGTTGAAAGAGTGTACGTGCGGATTTTGGCGATTCGAAGGAAATGACGAGTGTAGAGAATGGAGGCAAAGGCAGTAACCATCAGCGATTAGAGGCTAATCTTGTATGGAGGAAAAGTGATCAGAGAAAGAAACATAGAGGAGCTCTGATCGGTCGTTTGATGACAGAGAAGAATTTGAATAAAATTACCTTGATCCAGATGATTCGTAAGGGATGGAATCTAGATAAGACAGAGCATATGAAGATAATTGATGTGGATCGAAACATCTTTGTTTTTGAATTTTGAAAAAAAGAGGATTATAGCAGAATTTTGAGGGGAAGACCGTGGTCAATGCAAGGTGTATTGCTAAATATTCAATCATGGAAGGAGTATATGGTGTACAGAGAGGTGGATTTTAGCGTCTGTCCTTTATGGATTCAGTTTCACGATCTTTCTTTGGAGGCTATGGATCTGGATAATGCGATCACCCTTGGATCTATGATTGGAAAGGTTGTTATGGTTGAGAATCGGCTAAGAGATTAACTCTTGACCCGTAGCTTTTTGAGAGTCAGAGTTTTGGTGTATTTGAGGAGACTTTTGATAACAGGAATGTGGATGCCTAGACCTGATGGAAAAGAACTGATCCGGATAAAGGCAAAATATGAAAGACTACAGAACT